TTTCCAACTCCCCTAGAGTTAAACAGTTGAGTTTTACCGTTTTCGAATCCATTCAGCCGATCTCCGGGTCTGGCGGTAGCACTTTTAGCTGTAGCTTAGCATAGATCATTGAATCTGATTAGACCGTTAGCATCTCGCTCAAAAATGACCAAAGAGTTTCAATATTTTTCCTATTTAAAACTTGACTCTTCTGTAGTTACATCGTGTGTCGCAATGATATTACGCAGCGCCTGAAAATAGTCCCCAGCACGCTCCCTGTGCAAGCAGGTGGTCACGTTAGTTATGTTGACAGAAGTTAGCCTATTTTCAGGCGCTGTGTAATATAATTGCGCCTGCTGCACCAATGTTACGGCAGCAAAGTTCCTTGATTATTACGCCGGAATGAGAGTATAGTTCCAAGCCATATCGGCCTAGAAAATCTCAACTTTTCATTTTCCGTCGGTCTTAGTACACGATGTAACTACAGAAGAGTCAAGTTTTAAATAGGAAATTGAGTTTTACCGTTTTCGAATCCATTCAGCCGATCTCCGGGTCTGGCGGTAGCACTTTTAGCTGTAGCTTAGCATAGATCATTGAATCTGATTAGACCATTAGCATCTCGCTCAAAAATTACCAAAGAGTGCAGCAGGCGCAATTATATTACGCAGCACCTGAAAATAGTCCCCAGCATGCTCCCTGTGCAAGCAGGTGGTCACGTTAGTTATGTTGACAGAAGTTAGCCTATTTTCAGGCACTGTGTAATATAATTGCGCCTGCTGCTCCAATGTTACGGCAGCAAAGCTCCTGGATTATTACGCCGGAATGAGAGTATAGTTCCTCGCCATATCGGCCTAGAAAATCTCAACTTTTCATTTTCCGTCGGTCTTAGTACACGATGTAACTACAGAAGAGTCAAGTTGGGAGTTGGAAAATGAGCCTATTTTCAAAAATAGTGGAGTGTTCCTTTAATATAAAGACCATTTCAATGCACTTTTTTATTTGGCCATTGGGTTTCTTAAAGAGCACAGATTGTGTGATTAGGGGCACTGATTCAACCATTAGGCATCACTCAAAATGTTCATGAAAATCTTTAAATGGCATTTAACACTGTTTCATATATGTGACCCTGGACCACAAAACCAGTCATAAGTGTACATTTTTGGAAATTGAGTTTTATGCATCACATGAAAGCTGAATAGATAAGCTTTCCATTGATGTATGGTTTGTTAGGATAGGACAATATTTGGCTGAGATACAACTATATGAAAATCTGGAATCTGAGGGTGCAAAAATATCTAAATATTGAGAAAATCATCTTTAAAGTTGTTCAGATGAAGTTCTTAGCGATGCATATTACTAATCAAACATTAAGTTTTGATATATTTACAGTAGGACATTTACAAAATATCTTCATGGAACATGATCTTTACTTAATATCCTAATGATTTTTGGCATAAAAGAGAAATGTATAATTGTGACCCATACAATGTATTGTTGGCTATTGCTACAAATATCCCCCAGCGACTCAACACTGCTTTTGTGCTGCAGGGACACATATACATTGCATTTCATTTGGTAAAAGACACCTTGATTATCTTTCACTACATTTGTACTGTTCAAGTTCTTGCATTAAACATTTTGAATCAAACGCTGACAGGCTCTACTGATTTGTAAGGTGGGAAAAAACCTATCAAGCCATTTCAGATCAAATACAGAGATACTGAGTATCATCACAGAGACGAAGATGATCCAGATATAACTTTTGAGCCATGTTTCAGTCACAGGTGACATTAAAGGCATTAAAATCTAACATGATCAACTGCAGAAGTTGTTGTGTATTAACTTGATGGCAGACGTTACGGCACACAAGTAACAATTAGTCTACTTCATGAATAAATGATTAAATATATAGTCTCCTTTAATTAAATTGGTCTAATATTACTCAAGATCCTAACAGTATGAGCACATCAGTGTCTTTGTAATGCACTAAAACGATAAAGCAGCTATATTTGGCATAAAATACATGTTTTACTTACTACATCTCAGGAAACTTTTCTAGAGTTAAAATATATTATTTGTTGAAGTAAAACGTCACCTACAAATATCTGCTTATGTACAAAAACATCTTCTGTTCTCGTTCAAACTCACGTACTGTAATGTATTCATGCCCCCTGAAAGAAATGCTCACTTAATGTGACCTAAAAACATATATATATATATATATATATATAGAGACAACTTTATTACCGTTTAAACAAATTTTGTAAATGACGAATCTAACAAACCAGACAGACAAGACAAAAAGAAAAAAAAAGTATAAACAATCCATTTAAATAACCCACTTAAAGTAGGAATCAAACATGCTGCTGATAAATAGGTCATAAACATGCGTCAAAAGTGCTTGCCTTGCATTATTGTACTTTTAAACTTAAGCGTTCACTTAATCAAATTTAGCTAATATAGACATATTTGTGAAAAATCTGTTGAATCAATAGGCAGTGCAGGACCAATAAGTACAGCAAGTATAACTCAATATCCGTAACATAATTCTTCAAATAAAGTTCTGTGTTTGAACATGCTTCTCGTGTATAAAAAGTATCTGCACACATAAGCGGCAGCAAAATCACAAGAAAAGGTTGAAATGTACGGGCAATTATACATTATTTAAAGGTATTCTATTCGATATGATACTGATATTGGATCTGTTGTTGCCAAATAAGTGTGTGTATTTGTGTTCCTGGTGTTCCCTACATTATAGGGTCCAAATGTCCCCACATAAATAGTAATACCAGTAAATGTTTTTTTGTTCCACAATAGGAAACAAGCTTATAAATCATACAGAATTAAGTTTGCTGAAAATCTAAAAATGCCGGTTGTTTTGTGTGAGGGGCAGGTTTAAGGGATATACAGAATAAAGTTGGTACAGTAGAGAAAGACGGCTCTTACCCTGTGCTCTGATCGAGCGGCTTTGGCTCCGGCGTCAGCAGCAGCAGCAGGAGCTGCAGTGGGTTTGATGGCAGAAACTACAGACAACAGAGTATCAGCTAATTAGAGATGCACCGAAATGAAAACACTGGGCTGAAGGCCGAAGGCCGAATACCGAACACGGTTTTCCTCATGAATTTTCCCCATTTGTTTCACCACTGCATAAATTAAACAGCCAAAATGTGCTTTTTACAGTTTTGTCTTACTTTTCAAAGAAAAAATTAATTATAAAACAACAGTTTAAAAATATTTACTTAACACTGATAATTTTTTAACATTCTAACAGACATCATACCAACAAAGCACAATTAATAGGTTAGTAAAATAACATTTTTGAGACACCCTTCTGGAATCAGCCATGCAATTTTTACTGTACAAATAAATGCAGCCTTGCTGAGCGGAAGAGACTTCTTTTAAAACATTACAATATATTAGATCCCACTCTGTGTGAATGTTATAATAAATGCATTAATAGAGCTGTTATGTTGTTGTTAATAATGATAACTATTATTATCATTGCTGTCTTTTTATTTTATTTTACAGAACAACAGTAAAATCACAATACTAACATTTATGAATGTTGATGGAGTTCTAGCTTGGCAGAAATCCGCAAGAATGATAGCAGATTTATAAATTATTCTCATTATGAATTTAGGAAGAATCTGTCGCATATATCACATTGTCACATGCCCAAAAAAATCATAAAAATGTGACTGAGCAACTGACGAGTCACACGGTTTCAGTGCAGATTTTCCTTGCGGTTTGGACTGAACCCTGGCTAACGAGCTCATGCAGCGCTGTTTGAACACATGCAATTCGTGCGTGTATTAGAAAACAACATTCTGCAGTTTATTTACTAATTTAAGGCCATTTTGTGATTTCAATCATCATACAGTAACCAGCAACAGCCACCCAACCCTCTACGCAAACCATGGCAATATAATCGCCATTGGCTAGTAAATGTTTTTGTTTACTCGCCAGACTGATATACTATTCTACACACACACACACACACATATATATATATACACATACACATATATATATATATACACACACACATATATATATATACACATACACATATATATATATATACACACACACATATATATATATACACATACACATATATATATATATACACACACACATATATATATATACACATACACATATATATATATATACACACACACATATATATATATACACATACACATATATATATATATACACACACACACACACACACACATATATATACACATACACATATATATATATACACACACACTCACACATATATATACACACACACACACACATATATATAACACACACACACACACACACTTATATATACACACACACACACACACACATATATATATATATATATATATATACACATACATAAAATGGAACAGCTTCTTAAACATCTGAATGTACACTCTTAACATCAGTCAATGAAGCATTATATGATATTATGATAATTAAGGACTATTTAATGATAGAACTAGTGATTAGAACTAAAACTTGGTAACCATGTATGCATGCATATTTGTCATTGTAACTGAACTTAGGACTAGTGGTGGTGTTTAAGATATTGTTGGTCACAGATAATAGTAATTATTATTAAAAGATAATACTACTACTACTAACTGCTGGGCTCATGAATATATTAACCACGTTGTCAGCGTTCGCTCGAGCTGATTTGCTGAAATCAAAACAGGGACAGTAATAGGCGGGTGCCAGCCAATGAGATTGTCGTTTGCGCATTAGCTCCGCCCACTACCGAAGAAACCGGCATATCTTCTGCTTGTTCTTAAAAGCTGAATAATTCTAAATTAATGTAGCTGTATCTATGCAATGTATGAATGCAATGTAGAGGGTCGCCACTCCGTTCTCTTCTCATCGGAGACATACGCTGCAGTTCTAAACAGTCTCTCGCTGTCGGTGCTTTAATGATTTTTGCATCTTTCTCGGACAGTTTTAAATGCTTCCACACTGCTGACATGTTTTTGGTGCATTAGTGCGTGCCTCTATTTGATTGCGTCACGTCATTGTTCGGTACAATTTTATTCATTCTTTTCGCTTTATATTCGGTGCATCCCTAATGTTAATATGTGTCCCTGCAGCACAGAAGCAGTGTTAAGTCGCTGGGGGATATTTGTAGCAATAGCCAACAATACATTGTATGGGTCACAATTATACATTTCTCTTTTATGCCAAAAATCATTAGGATATTAAGTAAAGATCATGTTCCATGAAGATATTTAGTACATTTACTACTGTAAATATATTAAAACTTAATGTTTGATTAGTAATATGCATTGCTAAGAACTTCATTTGGACAACTTTAAAGATGATTTTCTCAATATTTAGATTTTTTTTGCACCCTCAGATTCCAGATTTTCAAATATTGTCCTATCCTAACAAACCATACATCAATGGAAAGATTATTTATTCAGCTTTCAGATGATGTATACATCTCAATTTCCAAAAATGGACCCTTATGACATGTTTTGTGCTCCAGGGTCACATATCACAATACACCAATCTCAGCCTCTACTGAATGTACAGCATCTATGATGAGATTTCATCCTGTAAACGGGGGACTCTCCTGACCTGGTTTGGACTGGATGGGCTGGGCCGGCACAGGGGGTACAGGGGGCATGCTGGTGGGGATGGGCCCTCCAGCAGCAGGAGCAGCAGCAGGAGCAGGAGCAGCAGCAGGGGGAGGAGGAGCAGTCTCTGCTGCAGGAGGAGGTGCTGCTGTCGTCTTAGCCGCTCCAGCTGAAACACAGTCAGAGATGAAACCACCGCAGCACAGCAGCACTCATTTATAATAATAACCACTTCCTAGCACGGAAAGCCCAGACACTTTATTTCTGGTTATGGTTATTATGAAGACGGATATTTTAAATGGGGGGTCTTCTACAGCTAATAGCTTTAATAAAACTAAAATTTTGTTTTATACAGTTGAAGTCAAAAGTTTACATCCCCCTTTCAGAATCTGCAAAATGTTAATTATTTTACCAAAATAAGAGGGATCACACAAAATGCATGTTATTGTTTATTTAGTACTGACCTGAATACGATATTTCACATACAAGATGTTTACATATAGTCCACAAGAGAAAATATTAGTTGAATTAATAAACCCCCGGCTCTTAATGCATGGTTTCTCCTTCTGGAGCATCAGCGAGCGTCTGAAGCTTCTGTAATAGCTGCATACGAGTCCCTCAGTTGTCCTCGGTGTGAAAACATGGATCTCAGAATCATACAGTCATTGCTGGAAAGGGTTCAAATACACAGAAATGCTGGAAACCCAAAGAATTAGTGGGAGCTGGGGTTTTTTCTGAAGAACAGCAGCAGTTTAACTGTTCAGGACAAACAAGGGACTCATGAACAACTATCACTAAACACAAAAACACAGCTGTGGATCATTCAGCTAACAAGATTCTGCAAGGTGTATGCAAACTTTTGACTTCAACTGTGTTTAATTAGTATAATACTCCCATACTTACAATCTTAAACTGTGATCTTAGTCCATCATAAAAATATTAAATTACAGTATTACATGTTAATAAAGAGTTCAAAAGTTAGTTTAGTTGTTTACAAGTAAAGTTTCCTTAACTTTAATTCGATTCAATTCAAGTTTATTTACATAGCGCTTTTCACATTTCAAAGCAGCTTCACATAACAATTCTGTTATTGGTCAGAGTTAAAGCATCATCCATATGGCAGTAATATAATGGTTAGTAAACCTCATGTAATCAGTTAAACACGCACAATGAACATGTTAGGAAGTGAATTCAGCTTATGATCGTAATGATTACAATATAAGATGCATTTAGTCCAGAACACTTCGGTATATATATTAGCAAAAAGAAACATGGCTGACCTCCTTTCTTGAGTTTGAACAGAGGAGTTCCTCCTTCCACTTTGCCTCCGTCAGGAACCAGCAGCTCCTCGATGACTCCTGCAGCTGGAGAGGGAACCTGCACCGACGTCTGCAG